GCAGACACCCTTCCACCTGTGAGGAAGCCTTCCGAGGCCTGAAGTTAGGACAGGCCCCAAAGACCCCACCGAACAGAGGAAAACGTGGAGATCCGGGGAGGGACGTGGGCAGTGGGACCCAGAGCAACACTTTAGCAACCCCTGGGGAAAGGAATCCCAGGATCCCACCTGAAAATGGCAAGCTGGAAACTTTCTTAGGAACAGCGAGCTTACCCAATCGCACGCATCCCTTCGCCATCCCCTGGGTGACGGTGGCCAGGTGTCCAGGCCCCGCTCCGCTGTCCACCCACAAAAACAGATGCCCACTCATGCTGCACAGCACTCACCCGCTGTTTGATGGCCGCCATGACCTTCCGCAGGTCATGAGACGGCAGGGACTGCTTCAGAAACGCGTCGAACTTCGTGTTGGACATCAAGATGTGTACCATCTTCCGGCCGTAAAACCTGCCGTCGGAGAAAGGGCCAGATGGAGAAAGCCTCACAACCGCTTGATAAAACGTTCTAAGCCTGGGCATTGTATTTTTTAATACTTTTTCTAACTAGGAAAGTATCGCCTCCCCTGTTTCAAAATGTTTATTCATAAAGATCAAACATGATCCCACAACCAGGTAAACACACATGTAAATGCTTACATTATTCTATTTTAGTGTTTTTTTCTATACATAGACATGTCTAGTTGCCATTAGAATATATAGACACTTGTATCTTTTTTTTAATTTTATCATTAATCATCTTTCCATGCCACTTAGAACTCTTCAAAAGCATTCTTTGAATGGCGACGTAATAGTCTCCTGGTTGGTTCTACCAACACGTCCAGAACTTGTTTCCTGCGTGGAATATTCAGGAATCTAAGGGTTCGGTGGGACAGCAGGGGAGGGAGTGGTCAGCCCTGCCTGCTGGATAGCTGTAGGCAGCGGAGGGCATCCAGGAGGACATCAGAGTGGAGGTGGCCCTGGTGTGGGAACTCAAAAGCTGAGGAGGCATTCATGTGTGGGATGGGTTAGAGAGTAGGTTGGAAAGGCTGGCCATTCCCGAGTCTGTACATCATCCTGAGCCCCGGCCACTCTGTCATTTGAGACCAGTGGGCAGAAGTGAGACACAGACACCGGCTGGAGAATAAGACAGGAACTAGTTCAAGGAGACCTGAAGGAGATGAGCTATGGCCTGCAGGCAAAACATCTCTGGCAGTTTGCAGGAGAAATGGATGTAGACAAGGCTGGGACCCAAGGGACCTGTCAGGATGTTATCACAGTGGTCCAGGCATGAGGTGCTGATGGCCTTCAATAAGCCAACAGAGTTGAAATCGGAAGCGGTGCTCTCAGACAATTTCTGTGAACACGAGGAAATGGCAGGACTTGGTAACAGACTGGAGGAAGATCATAAAGTGTCTACAATGACCCTATTTCATCCATCTAAGACGCTATTGGTTGTAAAAAGCACCATGACACCAGTATTCACTAAGAAACATAAAAGACAGCTGAGAATTATACTGTCCCATGTGTGAAAGACAGTCCTGATATGTTCTCTCAGAAACCAAAGTAGTAGTAGTGTGTATGGGGAGGGTGTGTTTTCCTTCCTTAAGTCCAGAATAGTATCTGGTTGTTGCCTTGCCAGAGAGCACGGAACTTTGGTCATCCTGAGCCATGACTGCTTGTTAATATTTAATTTATAAGCCGTTGCTCTATCTCTGTGCCAGTTCTCATACACAGTAAGCTGCCATTCCAAAGCATGAGAACATAGGGACATGCTTCTAAGGCACTTTAAATAGCAATTAAACTCAGTACTTCTCCACAGAGCATCCATGCTGAATGTTAAAAGCAAATCAAAAGGCTGCCAAGCAAAGCAAGGCTCCTAGTGCAGCTCCTACAGAGCCCTACCTGATACACGAGTGATCACAATGACCAGGTGGGAAATTGTGCAGGGAGAAAACCTGAAGTCCTGGTTGCCGCCTGGTCAACAGTAACTGCTAGATACCTCTGATCGGAAGGTAGGTGCCAGTGTGGGGGGCCAGGGAGACTGGGTCATGGAATCAATGAAGTGTGGGATTCCCTACTTGGTGTCTCGGTCAATGACTTTTAACAACAGAAAGTCTCTGTGGTGGAAATAGCTAATCCACGGAGCTGATAGCCCAAAGGTTGGCGGTTCAAGATCCACCCTTCCAATCTTCCCTCCAGAAATACTTCAGAAGAAAGGCCTGCAGATCTCTTTCGGAAACAACCCAGCCAAGGAGAATCCTAAGGAGCACCGTTGCTCTCCGGTGCACGGGGCATCACGGTGAGCCCGAGGGCACTTGGCAGCAGGAGAGAGGACGCAGCCAGAGGCGCAGGGCTGGGAAGAAAGTAGTAAGGCCTTGAAGGGCACACCACACTGAAGATGACCATGGGACATCCTGGAGATGGGTCCTATGGAGACTTCAGAGACGCGGGGTGGGAGGGTAGGGAAGGGTCTGTTGGAGGGAGGAGTTGGGAAGATCACAGTCTGCTGGTGACTGCAGCCACAAAAAGTGACGCGAGCCCCTCGGGGAAATCTGGAGAGGGGCACAAGCACTAAGAACACACTCTGTCAGCTGCCTCCACGCCAAGAGCAGGCAGGATGGAGAAATCCACTAGAGGGGTGGGAAGAACCAGGGGAGCCCTGTGCCAGAGAAGCCCGGAGCAAAGGTAGTCCAGGCTATGCCGTGTAAACAAAGAGGTCGACCCCGAGAAGGACATTAGGTCTGGCCACAGAATTCTTGATTTCCATCCCCCTACACAATGCATAGGCACCCCGGTGGTTATGCGCTGGACTACTGACCACAAGGTCAGCAGTTTGAAGCTACTAGCCAGCAATTGCTCCCCAGGAGAAAGATAGGGCTCTCTACTCTCATTAAGAGTGAGAAACTCACTGGGTGGTTCCACCCTGTCCAGTAGGGTCGCCGTGAGTCAGAATCGACTCAGAGTCTGACTCATGGTACTGGGTATCTATCTCTGTGGCAGAAGACCTCCTTGAAGTGTTGAAAAGCAAGGAGGCAACTGTATGGCCGGATCAATACCAGACCGGCTTCTAGCAACAAGTGACCTTGAATCTCCCCCACCTATCTGGAGCTGACCAGAGCTAGCTGAAACAACTAGCAAGTGGCCTTGAATTTCATACACACACACCTGCGGAGCTGACCAGAGCTGGCTATGTAAAGCAGCTTTGCAAGTTTTTTTTCTTTCTTTTACTCACAGCCCATTTTGCTCACGGCCCGTTTTGTTCACGGCCCGTTTGGCTCAGTGCCCGCTTTGTTCGGCCCACCGCTCTGCACCCGCCACGAATACACCCGGAACCAGGAAAACACCTTACATTCCAGAAACACGGACATACTTGTATCTCCCAATCCCTGACTACTTTACCTTATATGGACTCAAGGCAGCCCAGTCACATGTTCCCCGGCTATATAAACACCACTCCTGTAGTCTGGAGTGTGACTCCCTCGGCCCCGGACACTGGACCGTGGGACTTCGTCCAGGCTGGGTTTTTCTCCCCCAATAAAGCCTGTTTGCTCTAATTCGGCTGATTTGCTTTCTGGCGCCTCTCGACTACCTTACAGCAACTTTGAGAACTAAGGTGCGCCTGACCCAAGCCATGGTCTTTCCAATTACCTCCTACGCATGCGGATGCTGGACGTTGAATGTAGAAGACCAAAGAAGAATCGATGTATTTGCATTATGGCACTGATGAAGAAGGTTCTAAGTACCATCAATTGCCAAAAGAACAAGCAGACGTGTCCTGGAAGCAGTACAACCCGAATGCTCCTTAGAGCAAAGATGGCGACCCTTGGTCTCACCTACTTTGGAACTGCTCTCAGGAGAGACCAGTCCTTGGAGAAGGAAAACGTCTTTGGGGTAAGTGGAGGGCTGGCGAAAAAGAGGAAGACCCTTCATGAGATGGACTGACACCGTGGCTGCACCAATGGGTTCCGACACAGGAACAATTGTGAAGACGATTCAGGCCCCGGCAGTGTCTCCTTCTGTTAGCCATTGTTCACCATGAGTCAGAACCAACCCAATGGTCCCTCCGTAACAGTCATCTAAAACCGCGGCGTATTTCCCACCTGAGTTTCGAGGGCCCTTGCCCTGCCGTTACCTGGTGTCCTGGTTGGAGTCCTGGGCCAGCCTCACCAGGTTGTGCACCAGCATGTCCGTGCTGTCCCTGGTGCCCGAGAGAAGCTTTTCGGCCCCGATCTGCTCCAGGACGGCCGCCAGGTGCTCAGCGGTACACTTCCTCACGAGAGGGTTTCGGTGGCTGAAGCGAAACACAGCACAGCCAAGCGGTCACCAGACTGACGCACAGATTCGAATGTAGGTCTGTGCTTTGTGCCAGCCACGGGTCCCGAACTCTGTGCCCCATGGGCTGGAGGCATCTCCCCACCCTAGCACTACGGATGAGAACCACAGTGACGGGAGAGGGAAGAACCAGGGCAGTAAGTCCCACGTTCACTGCTTTCAGTCCCTCCCAGAGCCCTTAGTTCCCTTGTGTCAAGGTGCCTGCCCATCTTCCCTCCACTTAGACGATCCGAAGCAGTCAGTGTCTCCTGCCCCACCCTGCCCTGCAACATTAGAGGCTCCTGTGTCCACTGCACAGTCCTGTTGCATATCATGGGCCCTGATAAGAATGTAAATCCCCTGGCCCCGGGAGCAGGGGCCAGGCTTCCTCTCTGAGGAGTCCCCAGGGCCCAGCTTGGCACCTTTCTGATGCTGGTTATTCTTGTTAACCGCCGTTGAGTCAGCCCTGACTCTTGGCAACCCTGTGCTCAACGGGATTGAGCCATTGTAATCCCTGGATCCCTCCCCACCCCCTCACCCCCCAGCTGGTTTGCAGAAGCAGATCAGTACGCCTTTCTTTCTAGTCCATCTTAGTTTGGAAGTTCTGATGAGAACAACTCAACATCATAGCCACACGAGAGCCTCCAGGGACAGAGGTACCCCTGCCATCAAGCCATTCAGCTCATGGTGACCCTATGGAGACTATCCAAGGCTGTGAATCTTTATAGGAGCAGACAACTTCACGAACCTTGTGGTTGGCAGCCCAATGTTTAGCCCATAGCACCACCAAGGTTCCTTGAACTTGAGATTGGAAACATTGGCTGGAAATTGAATCTGGTTTTCTCCCATTGTGGTAGTTACATAAGCTGGTGTCAACACGAGACTATTAAGAGTAAGGGGTGGAGTTTAGTGTGTCCATCAGGTCACAGCTTGATGGCCTCATTTGGAGGCGCTACAGAGATAAATGGCTCTCTGGAGGCCAGACCCACTCTCTCTGCTTCATATTCCTGATGACAAGCCACATGGAGCCATGCTGATGGAGCCAGAGGCCTGGAGCTGGAGGAGCCACGTGGAGACCCACGCCAGCGCAGAGATGCTTCCACCACCAGTGGATCCACAAGACTTCCCACCCACTAGCCTGTGATCTTTCTGCATTCAGCACCATTGCATGGCTGTATGAGTCTAAAGAGAAATGTATGGGCTAGTATCGACATATGGGGTAATATCAGACTTATGGACTTGATCTGGACTAGGCTGGGATATTTTCTTAATGTTCAATTGCTCTTTGATATAAACTTCTCTTGCACACATATGAGTGTTTATGAATTTGTTTCTCTAGTCTACCCGGACTAACACACCACCCTGGAAGGTGAGATTTCTCCCACTGACTCCCCACTGCCCCTGCCTGACACTTAGTGGAAGCCTAAGGCACATTTGTCCAACCTCATTGAGATAAGAGGGGAGGAGAGGGAATTAGTGGGTGCCTGGTACCCC